GAGGCGAGGGCTCAGTCAACCTTCAGTCTGATCAGTGGCTACAGTGGCTGCTGTGTATGGAGAACAAGAGGTTTAGACTGCTAAGATACCTTTCTGGCCATAATGGGGCTTTATGGGACCACGTTCTGTTCACTTTACTCATCCCTGTGGAAACCAAAGACTGTTCACAAACTAAGTGAGCAGAGTTGGCCAGAAAAGCTATTGTGCACTGAAATGCCGTGCTCTTAGAAGGTGAGACTGTGCAGTATCCCAAATGCTCTGAGTCACGGTTGTATGGTTTATATAGGTCTATTCACTCCTAGTGTAGTTTGACAAGCCAGCACAGAGTGTTATGGAACAGATGCAGATGTCTTGAGTCAGTAATTTTAATAGCTGTTCAATTTGAACATGTGGCTCTTTTTAAACAGCGAATTCTGTGGAGAGAACTTGAGCAGGCGGAAGTTTACCGGGGCAGTGAAGAAGCTGAATGCTAATATCCTTTACCTTTGTTTTTCTCAGGTATGGCAAATATCTCTCTGGATTCTTTAAACACATTTTAAAATTACTATGCTTACAAGTCTCTTCTTAGATCTAGCTGATTATTATTTTTCTTTTCTCCCTCCCTTTCTAGCATGTAAATTTAGATCTGTTGCATCCATTACACACACTCAGGAACCTCATGTACTTGGTCAGTCCAGACACTGAAAACCTGGGCAGGTAAGAGAAGGAAGTGTCTTGCCTTGCGATGGAACGTTTCTTTTAGTTTTTAGAAAATCTGGTTTATTGTTGCTATAGTAATAGTAAAGGGCAAATCCTCCCTGTCGTTTCCCTGCACAAGTCAGGGCAGGTCCTGACACAATGAACCAGAGTGGATATAAGGGCTCCACTGGGAGAGGGTGAAGGGTATTGATTACAGCACGGAGCTCTGTTCCCACTGTGGGCTGAAGTAGAGAGGTTGTCTGGTCCACCATCCCCATTGGCTCTGCTCTTTATGCCACGTGATGGAGGGAGGATTTTTCCTTCTGTGAAGGCACTGGTGTTCATCCTGGGTGTCCCAGCTGTGCTCAGGTTTCAGGTCTTAGCTGGGAAAGGCATAAGAGGGACCAGTGACTGGAAAGTGGTGTCAGACCAACCAAAATGGCAGCAGTTCAGTAGACTTGTCTGAATGCAGGCATGAAAGCGAGAGTCCACGAGTCCTTTGCTCCAGCACAGACCCATAGAGACTGAGCTGGATGTTGCCTGAAACTGCTTTTTCCAGGAGTCGGGGCAGGGTGGCTTTGATGATGAGCCAGAACCTGGGAGCAGGGAACCCTGTGCTTCTTGGTGCTACTCTTGTAGGTTGGAATATAGGATAATGAGGACTGAGGCTTGGGGTGCTGGTGAAGTAGTTTCGTAGTTTCTAGGGTCGGAAGGGACCTGAGCAGAT